ATGAGCTGCCATGATTCGTCCGACGTGCCCTGGCTGTAGCTGGGATGAGGATTGGGCAGCGAACCTTTGTCGACGCCCGCTGCACCTACACCCGCAAGTCCGGCAAATGCATGTGGCTGCGCATCCCGCAACACCTCCTCATCATCCGGCATCGACGTGGGTCTGCTCCCACCGTTGACGACGTACAGCTGGCCGCTGCGCGGAGGCAGGTACGCTGGCACGGCCATGTCGCTACCCCTCATCTGTGTCGGTGAAAGAGGACGCTCCTGGAACGCCATGCCGCCGTCGCCATGACCCGCGGCCACGTTGGCATTAAAGATGTCCAAAGCGCTAGGTGCTTTGCTCCGCTTCAAACGCCTTCGCGAGCCCGTGCTTCCGCCACCTGGTCCTTGGGCAAGGATGCCTGCTGGGTCTGTCGGCTGCGCGTCTCGCTGACGACGTCTACGGCAGAACAGGAACGCGAGCAGAGCGAGCACCGAAGCCGCGACTGCCCCACCGACAGCTATGCCTACGATAGCGCCCGTAGGCAGAGCTGTACTCGAAGACCCGTGTTGCGACGGAAGAGGTGTGTGGGTCAGTGTGGGAATGGCAGTCGTTGCTGTTTGGGGCGCATCGCCCGAGGAGCTTGACCCCGTCGACAAACTCGGTTCTACCGAGCTGATGCTGGTCGGCAGATTGGTAAAGTCAGTATCGCTGGTCGAAAAGGTTGGCGTGGCATCGCTGGTCTGAGGCTGATCGGACAAAATTTCAGTGAAAGTACTGCCACCACTTCCAAAAGGCTGGCTGTACGGGGAGACACTGTTGGAAAAGGGATCGCCATAGTCGCTGCTACCGTACACATCGCTGTAGCCGTTGCTGTGGGAGAAGGAATAGGGACCGCCGCTAGAGATGCCGCCGCTGCTGCCGGCTGACCATGAGGACATGGATGGAGCGGCAGTGGCGGTTGGTCGAGGTGCCTGAGAAGACGGCCCAGTGGGAAGCGTGTAGGCCGCGGTGATGGTGTGACCCGAGCAGTCGACCCAACCTGCGCCGAGGGGAACGTACGGTGGGCCGCAGTAGGATTGCGTGGGCAGTACGGAGCGCAGAGCGGCCGAGTCGAGGACAGGAGTGGAGATGAAGACGCCTGGAGCTTGTTCGATAGGCGACCAGGTGAGCCAGGGTGGTAGGGATTGCTGTTCCTGCCCTCGTGCACCTTCGACGGCAGCGTTGGCGGCTTGAGTGGAGAGTTGAGCAGGCAGGGCACTCTGCAGCAGCAGCAATCGATTGATCGAGTAGAGCACCGGTGGCGGCATTCGAGGGACCTTGCAAGAGAGACGCTGTACAACAGAGCAGAGCGGGCGTTCGTGTGTCAGTCCGCTTCGTCCGACGAGCCGCTGCACCGTGATTCACATTGACGGTGAGACACTGACCTAGCGTCGGCCGAAACGCTGGCGGAAGGAGGAGGAGCAAGAGCAAGAGCAAGAGGACGATGATGAGACGTGGTGGATATGAAATCCGTGATTATGAATGGATATGCTTTTCAGGATCCTAAAGGTGGCCGGGCGAGAAGGTTGAGCGGTCAGCTGCACCGTACCGTACCGTCGCGTGTCGTACCACCTGAGCAGCAGCTGGAATCACCATGCCGGCGCGCGCAGTTGACAAGATGCCAGATCGTCCGTCCGCCTTCACCACCTTCGCCCCGCCCCGCCCCCCCCCTTCGCATGACCCGCACATTTTCCCAATTCCTTCCTCTTGCCAACTCAGACGCCTCCACATACGTCGAAATTGCTAGCCATGGCCGACGTCATGACGACCTGAATGAATGCTCATCGGTCCCCTCCCCAATCGCCTCGCAAATGTCATGTCGCTCTAGTAGGAATGCTCAAAGTACCTCTCACAGGCTCCGCCTTTGCCTTGCTTCCGTAGTCGTGACGTGCACCCTCATCCCCCCCCGCGGTCATCACGAGCAAGCGCGAGGTTTGCAAGTGCTGCGCATGTCGATTGCCATCTGCTGCCAGTGCCAGTCTCGTACTCGTGCAATTGCGCCCTGAATGCGCCGCCGCCGCCGCCGCTGCCGCCGCTTAGCTTCTGGCTGTTTGGCTGATGCACTCACTATGCATAGCATCCCAACAAAGAAATATCTGCGCTTGTTTTGTTACAGTCGATTTGCCGTGAGCACGTCCAGCGTGTCGTTGCAGAGATCGATGGATCGTCGACGAGTAAGAAAAAAGAAAAGAAAAAAGACTCTTGCTTTGGTTGAAAAGGTTGGGCAGACCAGCTGCTTGGATTGAGAAGGCGAAGATAGGGAAAAAGGGGTCGTCACCGCGGGGCCCCCTTGGGCACTCGAGGGTGATCCCAAATGGGGCAAAGGTGGAATGAAGATGAACGGGGGGATGGAGAGGTCGAAGGGGGGATGGTGGTTGTCCCCGTCTGGACCAATCCCACGACACGAAACATGTCGATCATTCGAT